TTGGCATATTCATCGCCCTGATGACGGAGGCAGTATGACCTCTGAAACGTTGGTTAACATCGACCAGACTACACAGCGCAATAACCCAGAAGACAGAAATCTGGTTAAGCATTGTTTAAATACTCATTATATGTTAAGCAATTCTCAAACTATCGCCTGTGGACAGACTTGGTAAAGCTAACAGGAGCATTTTTATACAGTTTGGTTGTGGAAGTTGTTTTCACTTCATAACACGGTCAAACATTTTCATCAGGGTCTCCAGAATCAAGAAAAAAATTGTGGAAGGATCTGCATTGTTCATTTCTTGCCTCCAGTTTTATATTGAACTTTCCCGTGTATGACTTGTACTCATTCTTCATTTATCTGTTTAATATAGGAAGAGGTTTGATTCCTATTGACATGGAGACTGCTGACGTTTCTTACATTTTCCGATGAATGTGCAATGAGAAACATGGAAATCATTTGGTTAAGCATTGTTTAAATTATCATTATATGTTAAGCAATTCTCAAAATATCGCCCGTGGACAGACTTGGTTAAGCTAACAGGAGCATTTTCATAGAGTTTGGTTGTGGAAGTGCATAAGATTATTTTACATTTCCTTCATACCTATAAAATTGTGAGTTCACCAAATTTAGTAGAATGTTTCTATATGTCGTGCTGTATACTGATTACTTTGATTATGTATGTGTCATTGCGAGCTCCGTGAAGATTATAGTGCATTGCCTTAATAGTTTACATTAAACTTACTGCTGGTTCAGTGACAAAAAACAATGAGCTCATTATTCTCGCACTATCAGGGTATGAGATACTCACAAAGCTGTATCCATTGCCTCGCAGCATTTCTGGGGCCATGTAGTGGGCTGTCCCACACACGGATTCTGCACGTTTCTCCTGATGAAGGAAAAAACATTGTAAATAACCGTAAAAGAGATATCAGACAGGAAGCAACTAGAAATTAACTGTTTGGTAACTGGAACAAAGCTCTGAGCATCCACTACTTGGCGTTAAAATCAGTCAATTCCATCATCTGCTGCCCTCATAACCAATTTCTCTAAGATCCCTCTTAACGCTGTATTCACTCTTTTCCAAGTTAGCAACGTGCAGGAGTTTCTCCCACCTATATTTTGCGGCATTTCCTCTCTCCCTAGATGTCCAGCCCATTGTAAGTTAACTCCATAAGCGCCCTATCATAACAATACTTGGTAAACTGTTAGAAACCGCATATTTTGTATATTTGGATACACTGCACGGTATGCAAGGTTCTAACACATATTTTTTCATTAATGCTAAAAAATCTAAACTAACCCCCGTTTGAACGAAATTTTCTATGACTCTG